CAGCCATGTGACTCCTTCAGTTTTTTCCCACAGCCCTAATTTTCTGCCTTAAAGATTGCTTGTGGGGATTACCCCCAGAGACCATGGCCAACAGAATCCCACAGACCTAGGCAGGGAAGTTCTTGAGTCTCTGGCCCCTTCCTGTATTTCCTATAACATGAGAAAAATTAACTTTGGACTCACTATTATTTGGGTTTTCAGCTACATGCAACTGAAATGCAGCTCCCAACGGATGTATTTCACATCGGATCTTGATGTAATTTTTAATTGTTGTCTTAACGTCTTCGAGTAGCAGGACTTAGAAAAAAAATCACAGTAACAAATCACATTTATTTTACATCTGGTAATTTAAAGTCTTTGCTTTAGCACGGTTAATTATGGAAGCAGCTGGAGACTAGATGCATCTATGCTTGTTATTTCAAGAAATTCTTATTGAGGTTATAATTTGATCCAATTCAAAGAAAAATAAAACTATAATTTCAGTCAATAGTTATTATCTGCTTTTGGATAGTATCGTGATTAACACACTTCACACTCCCAGTTAGAATATTATCTGATTCCATTTATAATAATGCTTTGTTCTTCTAAGTATGGCCATTAATGTGTTTCAACTTTTATCATTTTGAGCCTGTCTTAAAGGCATCGAAGGTTATCTCTACATTGTTCTTCCACTAGTTCCCAAGTAGAGAAAAGTAATGGAATCAACCATCCCTTTAGCAACTTAATTTACTATAGCTTAATTTTTCTTTTTTCTTAGACGTCTGGTACCTATTGTGACCCAGACTGCTGCATTGGGTAAGAATCACATTCCATGTTCAATATTAACAGTAAATGACTTTTCAAGTTTGGAAGATAGGTTAGTTGGACTTTGCTGTATGATCTTTATCGTCAGTATTTTCCTGAATTTTTAGAAATTTATTCCATCTGAAGTTCTGTGCTGGGGCGCGCTGTAGCAGTGATCACTGCTCCTGCAGTGAAGGAAGAAATTCACAGGAGCTGGAACTCAGAAATGAGGGGCGCTCTGCCGACTTGAGCCCTCACTGTACAATCTGTAAATCATGACTGATTTGTCTGACAGCAGCGCCTCGGAGTCCAAGCTCTACAAACATCAGTTGCCTGATGATCTAAGACACCCACCCCCTCCAGGCCACGAGGTTGGGGGGCAGAGAAGGGTGTCTTAGAAAGCAGGAGTGGGGCGGGGCCCACACAGAGGAGCAGGGTCCACAGGAGCAGGGCCCGCGGGTGGCTGAGGGTCGGGTAGACAGATACACATGTGCCCACCCTGTGCCAAGAGTTACCTGCCCTGCATGTCCTTGATCCTCCTGGGAAGAAGGGTTTGTAGTGCAGCTGGGATGCCAAACTTCAGGAATGCTCTGGAGCCCAGTTAGCTTCCTCAGTTGCAATCCTTATTTCCCCATGGAATATAGCGATGAAAGCCTTCAGTCAAACCAACTAAACATGCTTGAGGTGGGTTTGTAGTCAAGAATTCCCTTGTGGTGCTTTTTATTTAAATTTCCCCCCACTCCCCTGGGAGACACAGGTGATGTGGGGATCATCTCCATGGTCTTCCTTTATGTGGCGAGATGCTTTTAAAATTTGATTGAGAAACTATTATGTTCAGTCTTCTCCTGACTGTTTCACAAAGGTGTGAAAATAAAAGTACTTACTTACTAGTCAAAAAAATAAAATAAAATAAAATAAAATTTGATTGAACAGAGCAGGTGCTGCGCTTCATGGGTCCCAGCTTTATGTAAGAGTCTCCACCCCAACTTGCTGCTCTTCTTGGCCACGGCGCCCGACTCCAGTGTGCATGTTGCTCACTAGAATCCAAACTCTAGGTCAGGGGTTTGCAGATGAGTTCAGCCAAATGCGAGTTTCCAAGCTTGTTTACCATGTGGATTCCCGCTTTCTCATTCCTCAGCGCCTCCTTGAACTTCCACCACTTTCTGGAAAAAATTGTTTACTTGTTTGCTTTTTTTTAAAAATCCAGCTGATGGTGCAAAATGACACTTCATCGTGATATTTAGATATTTTAATGCTGTTTAGAGTTCCTCTTTCATAAAATCTCCTGTAATCTTCCATAAAATCTTTTATTCATAATTCATTTGGGCCATTTGTCACTGAATGGTGTTTCTTCATTTATTCTGTATACACGTTTGGTATTTGTTTTTTGTTTTTTTTGTTTTTTTTGCCAGTTGTGTAATGTCAAACTTTCTGCTCTACCTTTTCACTTTGATTTGGTGTCTTTATTCATGTTGACATTTTAAAATTTAATTTAGTCATATTGATGACATGTTTTATTGAACTGTTTGGTTTTTGTGTCTTAACAAATCATCTATAACTAAATATCATAAAGACAATCTCTTATATTCTCTCTTAATAGTTTAATATTTTTTGCTTTGTATATTTACATCATTAATCCATCTGGGATTTATTTTTATGTATGCTGTTAACTAAGGAGCTAATTTTATTTTCTTCCATATGGATAGCTAACAGTCTGCATCCCATTTGCTGCATGATACATCTCTTCTCACTGATGCAAAGGTGACCTGGACCATTTTCCAAGTTGCCAAATGTATGTGAATCTCTGTTGAGGCTTTCTATTCAGTTACAATTGTCTGTTGACATTTGACTCTACACAACAGTATTTCAGTTACAGGAGTTTTACAAAAAATAGGGGTATTCTCCTTTTGTTTTTATTTAAAATGATTTGGGTTTTCATAGCTCTTTGTGCATCCAATGAATTTTAGGATCAATTAATCAATTAATTGATCCTAAATATTATCGATTAGGATATCCCAATATTTAGGATCAATTAATATTTAATTCCATTAATTATTTCTATGATGATTTGATTTAAACTGCATTGAATTTAGATAATTCTATAATTCCTCATAGTTTCCTACCCAAAATTATGTTTTTTAAAATTTTTTAGAGATAACATTTTCAATTTACTCTATGTTAAATGAACTGATTATATACTATTGCTTTTCCCTCTTCTCTTTCCTTCTGAATTCTGTCTTCCTGATGTGCACTCTCTGGAATTCTTTTAGTAGTGTCTGTGAATGGTTAGACTTTGTCTTTGTGTTTATATTTCTTTATTTTGCCATCACCCTTCACAGTGAATATTGGGAGATGCTACCCAGATCCCTGTTTGAAACGAAGGACTCCCTGAGTGCTGGGTGTGCAGCCAGCTGGCCAAATCCAGGGTCAGCCCTCTTCAGGGACAGCCCAGCCAAGGCTGCACGCACTGCTGTGATCAACCCACATCTTTGACCAATGTCACATGTTTCCTGACTGAGCCCACTTGCCTCAACTCTGAAGGGACAACCAGAACCAAAGTCCACAATTTCACTGATAATTATGCTGCAGGCCAATGGTTCCCTGCCCACCTCTGCTGCCAGGCTTTCCTCAAGTATTCCTAAAAACTCCCCTGATGAAATCACTATCCTCATCTCTGACTCAGAGTACACTCCCAGGGAAGCCAGCAATCACGATTGTTGATTTTAGGGACGAGCCAAGAAAGTTGAAGCTAATATGGACTTTCTGACTTAAACTACAACCACCTGATTGTCAGTGAGGACCTGCTGGTGGTGATGGGTGAAGGGTAGACTTAGGCAAAAGTAACAAAGCAACACTGCAACAGTTAAAACTTTCACAGGTAGTGGGATGCTGTTCTAAAGGAAGACAACATATGTGTACCAGGGATTTATCAAACATGAGGGAAATAGTAATCTTAAGGACAAGGGAATCTTAAGGACAGCTGCTAAGTAAAATAGATTCTTGGAAAAAAGCAAAACACTGAGAATGGTTAATGACTATTAAAAATCTAAAAGCAAAATTAAGAAGGCCTCTTCGGTAGCAGATAAAGAGGCTTTTAACTGCTGCAGTGGGAGGCAGAGCAAGCTGGGGAACAGGCCCAGCATTAATCATAAATGTGGCGGAGCTCCAAAGGAGATTTGCAGCCAGGTAACCCAGCTGGGTGGGTTAAGCCCAGGGTCAGAAAGCTGCATGGGAAGGAAAGAAACCCGGATGCCTTGGCTTGGATTGCAACAGCTGAACATCTCAATGACCCGGATTCTCAGCCTGAGCACGACTACCGCTAGTGCCACCGTTTGCTTGAAAATGATGCAAAGACCTCTGCCTTGTAGTCCAACCTATGTTTTTTTTCAGGAAATTCTACCCTGCCTCCCCAACTTCCCTGCTGGCCTCGGGTCAATAACTTGGCTTACATGAAACCTGGCAAAGTTATTGTAATGAGCAGCAGGAGCAGAGTGGCTTTGCAGGAGATGGGCCTGGCGCTCAAAGGACTGAAGTGAGGGCTAACAGAATGTGGTGTTCCCAGGAGCAACATGGATGGCCCGCAAACAAGGAGAGTGTCAATCTGTGCAGTCACAATGGCTCCTGGGAGTGTATGGGCAGGAGCAGACAAAGGCCAGCTCACCGGGAGGAAGGCCCTGACATATCATAAAAGTTGCACATGGTTGCAAGGCCCCCAGCCCTCGCCCTAGGGGCTTTGCAATTTCATTGCTTGAGGAACGTTTCCCAAAGAACTAAGCAAGACATTTCTTAGTGTGAGTTCGTCTCCCTCTTCCTTTTAGGGTTGTCGCTTCCTTTAGATCTCCCCTTTGCTGAGGAGACAACACTGAGGGGCCCTTCTGTGCCTTACATCCTTCTGCAACCTCATCCCACTGCCCTGTGCTCAGCACTGGGAGCTCCGCCCCCCGGCGGAGTGGGCGGGGCCTTGTCGACAGGAGGGGCGGGCCCCGCGGGAGTGGGCGGGGCCGAAAGGAGGGCGGGACCGAAAGGGGGCGGGGCCCACGGGAGGGGCGGGGCCCACGGGAGGGGCGGGGCCCACGGGAGGGGGCGGGGCCAGGCCGGCCGGCGCGCAGCCGTCAGACGCCGACGCACGGCGACTTCCGCTCCGGCCCGTTCCCGAGCGCCGCGGGCCGCTGCCGGGCCTCGGTGGCTCTTCCCGCCGCCGTGGTCCGCGCGAGGGAGTCGCCGCCGCGGCCGCCGCCCGCCGTTCCCTCCGCGGCCCCGGGGTGAGCCCGGCCTCCCCGCGAGGGTGAGCGGGGGCGCCGGGAGGGAGGGTGGCCCCGGGCGGGGCGCGGTGTCGCCTCCGGAGCCGCGTGGCCCCTCGACCGCCTCCGCCCGGGCCCGGCGCCCCCTTTTCCCCCCGCGCCCCGGTGCCGGGACCCTCGGGCCGCGCGCCCTGGAGCGGGGCGCACCCCCGACCGCTGGGGAGGGGCGCCCCGAAGCCCGCCAGCCCAGCGGGGAGGGGGCACCCCAGCCCTCACTTTCTCGGGATTCCAAGGGCACCCCGAGGACGGGCCGCCCCGGGGGTGCTGACCCCGCGCTGACCCCGGGGCTCGGCAGGACCCCGCGCTGCGCCCCCTGTACCCCTCGTGTGAGAGCCGCCAGGGCTGGCCCCGCGGGCTCGGCGCCCGGATCCGGCCCCCTTGGACCACAGTTTTGGGGTGTCAGTGTCTCGCCGCCTGGCGCGGCCGCGGGGAGGGGCCGCGAGCCTTGTGACAAGGGGTGTCGGTCCCGCTTCGCGTGAAGCCCGTGTCTGGTTTTGCTGGACCGAAGCGTCACTCCCTTTTGGGGGAGGAATGCACATCGCTCGAGGCCCGCGTTCTTGGGGTGCCCCGTGTGTCACAGACACTTTGTTCCTTTGGAGTGAGAAGGTTGTCTTCGGGGGGCCTGGGTCACAGCCGGGGCGCGTGGAGCCCCTGCTTCCAAATTTACAGTCGGGACATCTTGAGTAAGGTCTGGAGGCTAAAATCTGTCTTCAGAAATTTCGACAGTTGAGTTTTGAGACTCCCCCTTAGAAGAACACTTTGGGGATGTTTGTGTGTGTTGAGGAATATTGAGAAATTTCATATTTGTATTTCAAAGAAGGGTCGGACTGGGGGACACCGAGGTAAAAGCTGAGCTCTTTGGACCTCGCAGCCTTCAGATTGGATAAGAAGCCAAATAAGTGTGTCACTTAGTAAAAAATGTTATTATTATTTTTTTTTAATGTGGTAGTTTTTTCGAACAAGTGATGAATCTTTTTAAGTCTTTGTTTCCATGTAGGTGGTAAGCATGGACTTTTAAAACATTAATTCGAACGAACCCTTTTAAATGATAGGCTCATGCATGTAGGGAAGAGGGCAGCCTTCAGGGAAGCCAGGCAGTGACAATACTTGAATATATATTTTTAGAGAAAATAGTTTGACTCTCTAGATGCCATTTGACAATTACATGTTTTATTTAAATGTTACACGGGGAAATTTAGAATTCAGGTCTTGGGAGCATCGGGCTGCCTGATCACAGAGTCCAAGCAAGTGATACAAAGTGGATAAATAAAGTATTTTTTAATGATTTCTTGCTAATGATTTCCTGCCTAACACTTTTTTTAAAAACTTGACACAGTGATTTTTGAAGATTACTTAACATCTCAGAAACTTTGTTTTTTTCTGAGTGGGAAGAGAAAGTTACTTTGACTTTTAGGATAAAATTTCTTGATGTGTACAGTTTCAGACTTGCTCTGTAGAACACATAAGTGCCTTATTTTAAAAAGTCATCTGTTGCATTTGTGATAATGTGTGCTTAACATTTTATAAAAGGCCTGAAAATGCACTTAATTGTCAGAATGACGCGGGTTGAGTTTAAAATTTAATGAGAAAACATCATTCTACTGTTTCTTTACTTAAAATATTAGACGCAGTGAGGCAATTATGCAGTCTGTTCTCTTATGCAGAAGGAGGGGGAGATGCCCAAAAAAAAGACGGGCGCGCGGAAGAAGGCAGAGAACCGCCGGGAGCGGGAAAAGCAACTGAGAGCGTCCAGAAGCACCATCGATTTAGCCAAACACCCTTGCAATGCTTCCATGGTGAGCGGTCTTTGTTGTTTGTTTGTTTGTTTTGTTTCTGATGTTGGTGCAGAGGTGAAATAGCCAAGCACACCTGAGTAGGACTGCAGCGGGGCCAGTGTTGCTGTGTCTATTGAATTTATGCTGGAGACATGTGCTTTGTTTTCACTAGTCCTGGGAGCTGTCATCTTTGCTACTTTGTTATTTGTAAGGCCTGGCTTGCAAGGCTGGCTACTGTTGGTGGTAGGTAGATACTAAAAAGGACACAAAGTAAGAAACATGGTTTTGTGGTTTCTCAAACCTCATACCCCTTAACTCAGTGTGTCCTGTTAGTTGGAACCTTTTTATTGTTTGCTCTTAGTAATTCTTAGCTCATTTGATGTCTCACTACTATTCTTGGTCTCCCTTGATTTCCTGCCCCACCGCCCTGTGTCCCCGAGTGAGTGGGTTAGTCCTGGTCGCTCCCGGGCGTCTTTGGGTCAAACTTCAGACAGACGGGACATCATCCTGTCTTCTTGGACCACGTCTCTCTGAGTCACCCCATGCTCCCCAGTTCTGTGCTTCTCTGCTTTTTCTGTTCCCCCTTTTCCCCCCTCTTCTTTCTCCATCAAACAAATAGGAAATGTCCAACCTGGCTTAATTTTCCAAATATTTGTTGCGCACCTGCTGTGTGTCCTGTCCTAGGCTCTGTGGGAAGGAAGTGTGTCCGTGGGTGACACACTGTTCCCCCCCTCTTTCCACAGTGTGTGCAGATCACTTGTTTTGGATAGTACTTAAGGTTCATTTTGTTTATAAATGACAAAAGTTCAAGTTAAACTAGCTTTAGAAGAGAAAGAGTTTATTGAACGAATAATTAACGAAGTTGTGTAGCTGGGCAGGGCTAGGGCGGGGAAGAGCAGCGAGGACCTGGGGTGCCTGTGTTACTCCGTCTTTGGCTTCTGCTTCTTGCTGCTGGTCAGCTCTGTCTTCTCCGACTGTCTGGCTCCATCCGTCAGGGGCCCCAGCCACCGGTAGTTTGGTAGTTCGCGGGGCTAATGCCATTTGTGGCGGCCTGCAGAGAGGGAGAGGGCTCTGATCATTTGGGTTTGTGTGCGTTCCCACCCCTCAGAGGTGCTTTGAGATGGGAGCGGGGCGGGAGGGAGCAGGTGACAGAGCAGAGCTGTAACAGTGGTCGGGACGCCTTCTGTGTCGGGGTCATTTCTAGAGACAGGAGCATGGGGCAGACAAAACACGGATGTCGAGAATGAGGGCTCGACTTCATAAGTGCTGCAGTTAAGGTATCCTTGGACTCGGCGCTGTGGGCTGACAGGTGATAAAGTCAGGTGTGTGGATGGGGTCCAGTTCGTGGGGGGTGTGGCCACCGCTGGGACTCCAAACAGGAAAGACCGTGAGCAGGGACTTTCAGGGAAAAGTGTTAGAATAAGTCAGGGCATAGAAAAGGCACAGTATGAAGCTTATTCTGAGGATGACTGACTATTGGTGACTTGACTCTAAAGAGAATAGTCCATTAAGGTTTGGAAAGTGGTAAGGGATCAGGTTTTGGTGAGCTTTTCATGACGCTTTTAGGATTTTGATTTTCTATGTGTGTCATCAGTTGCGTTCGGAAACACCAGTTATCACTGTATGTAGCCTCCGTTGTGGAAATACTACTCTTCCTCTAGTGTGGTGTTTCCAGAGCATACCTGTGTTGCTTAAGTATGTGTAGATGCATGTGTATGTGGTTTGAAGGTTTGGGGTGCCCCTTAAATTTTATAAAGCTATTCTTTAAAATGTAGGTAAATCTGTAATTTTCAGCAAGTAGAAACATTAATGTCTTGGTTTTATATTTTATAGGAATGTGACAAGTGTCAGAGGTAATTATTTATTTTTCTATCACATGTGGTAATATAGATTTTCTTGACCTTTTGTTTGATATTAACTATTTAAAATTTTTATTTTGCAAGGCGGCAGAAGAATAGAGCGTTCTGCTATTTTTGTAATTCTGTACAGAAGTTACCTATTTGCGCACAGTGTGGTAAGTATTAATCATGAAGGACACGTGCTTTTCTTTCTTCACGTATTTGTTTGGCAGTTAGTCAGCTTGAATTTGAGTTTATCATTATACAATAATGTTATGCTCATCGTAAAAAAAATAATAAAATGTTACTTGACCTACTGAACAACTATCAAGTCTTGGTTTTATCTCTTTGACATGATGCCTTAAAATAATTCAGATGCAATTTAGGTAAAGGTTACCAACATATTGTTTCAAACATTAAAACATCAGACTTCAGACATTTGATGATCCTAAATTTTGTTTAACACTTATATATGTTATGTGCTTCATGTACCATATTCTTACAATAAAGTAGCTAGAGAAAAGAACATATTAAGGAAATCCTAGGGAAGAGTATACATTTGCAGTGCTATACTGTATTTGTCAATACTGTAAGCTTAGGTCATCTGTTTGTAAATAACCCACACATAAATGCACCCACATACTTCAAGCCTGTATTGTTCGAAGGTCAGCTCTACTGCCCTGCAAGACTCATGGTGCTGATGCATCTCTTTCCCAGGGAAAACAAAATGCATGATGAAGTCGTCGGACTGTGTCATCAAGCACGCTGGGGTGTACAGCACTGGCCTGGCCATGGTGGTGAGCTGCTTGTCGCTGTCTCTCAGACCAGTCGTTTCGGTTTCCAAGGACAAGAAGAGTCCTGACCAGGGGTTATACTTCACTAGCGAGCACAGCTTTGTGTTCAGTCATTCTGGGGTTACCTGGACTATCTGTGGCAGGTTCTTTGTGTGCTTTTCCCTTACTACCTACGAGTTTTTGGAGACTTCTTTCTTATTGGGAGACAAGGAATGGAAACTTTTTGTTGACCGAAACAAAAAAAAATTCATTTGTAAGTGGTACCTTTTTAATGTATGTTAATTATTGGAAAATATCATTTACTGTACTGAAAACCAAGGTTTAGAGTTTTTGGTTACATAAACAACCTAGTTGCAAAAAAGCTAGGGTTCATAGTTTCTTTAAAGCTTCGCATTTAAAAAATACAAATTTAGCTCAAACTTATATAGTCCCTTTGTTACATGTAGAATTTTCTAAGAAAATCCATTGCTTTAAATAATGAAAACAGTTGTGTTATGTGATCCATTTTGCTCATTGTCACCAAAAAATATTTTCCTTTGAACTAGTTTTATTGTATTCTGTTAGATGATTTTATGCTCAGTCCAATTTTTAGTCAATGAGAAAAGTACATTTTATTTATAGTAATCTTCCAAGAGCATGTAATTTTCCATTACCAGACACACCTTTTATTATATATCTTGTGTGTATAGTGAACAGTAGGGTTCTTTTTCTTTTTTTTTAAGATTTTATATGTTTTTGTGTAGAACAACTGGTGTGTAGGCCAGAGGTGCAGAGGGTGAGAGGATTCACCAGAGACAGAGTGGGGAGCAGAACAGGCAGACTGACTGAAAAACACTGCTGAGGGGAGCAGTAGGAGAGACAGGAGAGGTCTGCTGCGCTGGCCAGAGATTAGCTCATTGGCCAGAGATCGAACTCCTGCCATAGCCATAATAGCGCTGAGACTTACCCCCTAGGCCACCAGGGAGGCCCCAGGATCTTTCTTTAATGAAACTACGTGCTAGCACTGAGGTTTGATGAACTGATAAATGCGGTTAAGTAGAGGTGCAGACAGCTTGGTGACAGGGAATTTTCTTTCTCTTTGGTGCAGGGTGCAATCTGTGACTTCTGTGAAGCTTGGGTCTGCCACGGTAGGAAATGTCTCAGCACCCACGCCTGCGCTTGCCCTCTGACTGACGCCGAGTGCGTGGAGTGTGAGCGAGGCGTCTGGGACCATGGTGAGTGGTTACGACTAGCAGTGCACTTTGCTGTAAGTGAAAGCTGCTTTGTGGCATTCTGGGTATCCTTATTAAGATTTTCCCCACAGAAATTATCAATCCTGATAACTGCCGGCATTGTTTTGGTGATGCATGTAACTGGAAAAATGACTTATGCCCCAATAATCCTCAGTGTGGGATTGTTTATCAGGGCCGGAGGGGAGTTCCAGGCTAGCATGAGTCTGTGAGCACACCGAGGGCGGCTGAGTGGCAAGGGCAAGTGGGAATATACTTTTTGACGGTTCATTTGGCAATTTTTATTGTAGCCTTTACCAGAACAAAACTACTGCACTAATTTGGTATAAATCTGAGATCACTAGCCATCTTTTTGGAGCAGTTTGGTAGACATGAGTTTTTTTAAATTAAGATTTCTGGTGTTTACAGCTCTGTGTTTTATTTTCTCATCCAATAGGAGGCAGGATCTTCAGTTGTTCATTTTGTCATAACTTCCTGTGTGAAGATGATCAATTTGAACATCAAGCCAGTTGCCAGGTTTTAGAAGCGGAAACATTTAAATGTAAGTTTGTAAAGGATGTTCTCTATGCCCAAGAATCTCAATAGTATTAGTGTTAAACTTAACGAGAAAGGAATGTAGTTTTTCGTGCCGCCTCTTATGGACTATCACTCAATTTTCTATTTCTAGAAAAAAAATTCAAAGAATATAGTCCCTTGTTTTCAGCAGGGTTGGCAGAGGTTGGATCAGTTCTTTATTTTGTGAGATTGATCAGACATTGAAGGACTGGTGCTGTTGCTGGGCCTGACCACTAAGTGTCATTTTTACCTCCAAGTTATTTTAACAGCTAACTTTCATGCACCCCCGCCCCCACGTCCTCAAAGGCTCAAGTTTTAGAGTCAAATAATTACTTGAATTCTATTTATTTATTGCCTGTATGATTTTGGGGAAATTTTCAAATCTTTCTAAACCTGAAGTTCCATATCTAGTAAAAGAAGATGCTAATTTCTTTATCAGAGAGTGAATTGAAATGAGATTCCATCTAAAGCATTAGTAGAGTACCTAGAACTTAAAAAGCCCTCATTAAATAGTAGATAACCATCATAAGAAAGACTAAATCACCCCAAGTAATCATCTCCTTAAATTTGGTTCTTGTTCTGGTAGGAAATGCAGATCCCTATGTTAAAGTATAATCTTTAAAAAAACTTCCTATTGTGCTTTATGAATGATAGTATTTCAGCCTTTCTCAGAACTTTGGTTTACTCATCTGTTAAATGGGAACAACATCAGATTTGGTAAGTCATGAATTTAAAAGACGCACATAACACAACTCATAGAAATTCTCAAACATTAAAGGAACATTTTAAAATATGTAGCAATTTTGAGATGTATAACATAGGCTTTTGAGAACGTATAACATAAAACTTGGATGATTTTATTTGGAGCTTGGGAACTTTGTGTGTTCTGCAGCATTTGAACCCCAGGGACAGCATCAATGAGTGAAATATCTAGTGCCATCAATAAGTTTTGACAGTTCCGTACAAGAAAAAAACTGAATAATCAACAGGATTTTAAGATTATCATCGTGACTTTGCTGTCTGACATCAGTCATTCTCAGTGCAGATTCTTAGCTGTAATGTTACAGCTATGAATTGAGAGGCTTAGAGAACCTTTAACATACGCATTTACCTGCATGATCAGTGGGGACGATGCCTTAAGAGAAAGACCGATGCACATGCGTGTACTCTGCCTTTATTTTTCTAAGTAATTAAAATGATGTAGGGACTTATAATTTAAAATGGCTTCCTGTCAGCAGGCTGGAAGCATCCCAACCTCTACTTTCTTTTAAAATACTCTGAAAATGTAAAAATAGATTTAAAATGAAAAGCATTCCCCAGTCTAAAGCTGGGAAAGTCAAAACTATGTTTAGAATCTGGGAGAAAGGCATTCTTCATGCACAGCCAAGATTTGGAGTCTTGGGAAAAATAGTAACATGGGACCTGAGCACTCATGTGCAGGGTTGCGGAGGGAAGGGGATGGCAGAGTCACCTACCGCCCTAGTTGTGGGAGCCGCCGATGTCAAGCTGACAGCAAGAGGCAGAAGTTAATTTCTTAGCTTGTGTCTTTGTGGCACATCGAAGACTCATGTGGTGGGGGTAGGAAAAGTCGGAAGCGCTTGGGGAATTGGGTCAGGAGCTTTGTACTTTTCATACTTTCAATGTGTGTTTTGACTGTGTTTGAAAGAGATTTATAAAATTTTGGGTCAACTAATATAATGTATTTAATGTCCTTTTTTTGACTGAAGAGTGGACCAGAAACGCCCTAGGCGTATCCTGAAATGATTGGGATTCAGATTTTTCCCCCCATAGACTGAAGTCATATAGCTACTATTGGAGCAATTTGCTCTGCTTACATTTGCCAACATGTTAAGTGCTCAGTTGGCTGTGGCTTATTTTACATAGGACAAGTAATACCTACCAAACCGAAAGGCAGCCCTAACTGTGGAACAGTGCAGCATGGTTAGGTAGGAGCAGTAATCACATCATTGAGAACATTATCTTTGAGTTACAAAAAAAAAAGTTTGAAAAAACTCTCCATGAACCAGTCAAACAATAAATATTGCTATTAACAATCCCCAAATTTGAAACATCTGATTGATTTTTTTAATTACAAAGATAGACTTCCTTTATTTCCCTTTTAATTTTTCAAGATCTCTATGTGAATGAAGGTTATATTTGGACTTTATCAGGGTAAGGCCTAGCTTGTTTTTCTGTCCCCTGTACTTCCATTACTTACTTTTTTCCCTTCCCATATTCTGGTACATGCTTTTCTAATACATTTGCACTTGAGGTTTTTTTCCCTCATTAATTATAGTTAAAGACCAAAATTAATGTGAACTTTTACTGATTAAAAGAGTGATAAAATATTGGGTCTCCGCTGGTGGCGCAGTGGTTGAGCACTGGGCTGTGAAGCTGCCCACAGCTTCTGCAGCACCTGTTTGATCCCTGGCCACCGGGTGAGGGTCCCACATGGCGCGCAGACCTCTCCTGCCGCCCGCTGTTCCCCTCCGCAGTGTACTTCATCACTCTGCCTGTTCTGTTCCCCGCTCTGGCTCTAGTGAATTCTCTCACCCTCCCACGCTTCTGACTGTACCCAGTGCTTGTATAAATTAAAAAAAAAAAAAAAAAGAGTGATAAAATATTTAGGGGTTTTTTTCCCTCTGTTGAAAAAAACCTGTCTATCTCAATAGTATTTTCTCTTATAGTTCCTCTTTGCACTGAAAGTGTATTCTCTTATCAGACGTTGTGCAAAAAATGGCAATTGCCTGCACCATTAGAGAGAACATGCATATTAATGGAGGCAATTATTCTTTCTAATTTTTAACTATTACATGCTTAAATGAAGAGCTCCGGCCAATGTCATAGAAAAAAATGATGTTTCGCCATTGCAGTTTTGTAAATGTGATTAATGAAGCCTGCCATCTCCCGGGCTTGCTGGAACGGAAGGAAACAGAATAATTGGAGCCGTAGTAGTGAAAGAGGCTGGGGGTGCAGTTACAGGCACTCTGCCCTTTGGCTGGGGATCCGGCTCCGTATCGTGTGCCCTCAGGGTGTGCTGTGAGACGGTTAAAAACAACGGTCACTATTGAGCTAAGACAGTAAAGTTGTCTTTTCCTTCCACATCTGGACCTGGACGTTGTGTTCTTCCCCACAGGTGTGTCATGCAATCGGCTTGGTCAGCACTCCTGCCTCCGTTGTAAGGTACATGAGCGGTGTTTTTTATTTTTGGTTTTTTTAATCTCATCCTGCCCCACCGGTCTGCGAGCCCATAGCTACGATTAATCCACGAGGAACCTGAAAAATACGTAGTTTAATTCTTTTAGAGATTGTGGTGTTGGAGTGGAAGCTTAGTGACTTTTCGAAGGTTGTCCAGTTGGCCTGCCTTGGCAGTGACACAGGTGCACTTCTGCTGACTCGTAGCTGTGATTTGCACCTTGTGTTTACGGAGAGTGTCCTGGCCGAGGTGATGGGAGTCTGTCTTAGTTGCTATGCACTTGCAGAGGAGTGCTTGAGTAGTGACAGCTCCATCTGGTTCTTCCATTCCCCTTGCTGCTCAGCGAGGCCTTCATGTCCTCCACGGCACCTTTGCTTGACCCCTCTTTGCCTCCATGCCCTCTCCGGCACCTCCCCTCACTGCACAGTGGCTTGCGGCCCCTCCACCTGTCTGTCTGCCGGCTAGCCTGTGTGTCCAGGAGGCCACGGCTGGCTGTCTGCCATGTGTCGTCGGGGCTTTGTGGATTCTGTGTATGTGGGGCAGTGGGTGAACGTGTCTACATGTCATCCCCACGTAGGGTTCTGTTAGGTCACAGTTCAGTGGGTCCTGGCAAAGACCATTTCTTTTAAGAAATTGAAATCAGGAGGTGGCCAGTCCCAGGAAAAGCCATGCTTCTGCCCTGGAAACACTGTCTCTTCCTATTTTACAAGATACTGGACAATGTCATTGTGTTCTTTTTGGAATTACTTTTTTACTTAATTTACTTTTAGGCTTGTTTCTGTGATGAGCATACAAGGAGCAAGGTATTTAAGCAGGAGAAAGGAAAACAGCCTCCTTGCCCTAAGTGTGGACATGAAACTCAGGAGACCAAGGACCTCAGCATGTCAAGTAAGGTCTCTCCACACCCCAGTGGCGTGGTTTTGCTTTCAGGCCAGAACTGGTTATCTCTTTTTTCTCTCTCTCTTTTAGTTTTTGCCTCTCTGAAAAGATGAATGGATTCTCTTAAACAAATGGAGTTTTATAGCCTCAGAAAATATGTGTGTAAAATTTCTCAATTTAACTTAAGAAATAATACCATCATTCACTTTGCTCTTCGGCGTTTGCCTCAGTTAATGACATAGCAAATACTGAAATTTAAAGCCAAAAAAGCGATTTTCCTGTTTTTGCTGAGGCTTCCTTGTTTAATAATTGAATAGCTATGAATCCTTAACATTCCAGTGCTATAATCTTTAGTACTTGAAAGTTAAAATTCATTCTAAACATGTTCTTAGGTGAGTGATATTTGAGCAACTGTGCTTATTATGAAATCTGTCACTACTGCAGGGCATTGTGTTATAGTTTTTATATGACTTTTCTATGACGGAATAAGCACTAAAAACAAGCTTCTCATAATGCAGCTCACAATTTTGTTAAATAATATTTGACTCTACGCCTTATGCCAGAATTGAACGATAATTCTAAATGACGCTGACAGTACTTTGTTTAGTCAGAGTTGTACAATGAGTTGATATGATTCTGCTGATTATTTCCACTCAGCTTTGTGTTGCTCCTGAAGCAGAAGAAATGAAATACTTGTCTTCCAGGATGACTGAATTTTAAAACAGCTCTCAAGAAAAATGTAGTGACATGAAATCAACTCTTGTGTGATTTGTGTGATTTCAAAGTAAATTTAATTGGTCAAATGAAGGGCATTTAGTTTTAACATGCCTCATTAACTTATCTTTGGAGAGTGCTATTTTTATTTTGTTTTCTAATTCTCTAGATTTAGTGAAGTGACACTGTCATCGGTCACTTGTGCACCTCTGTGTGTGCATGTGTGTGTAGACTGAGTAGGCTAGAACTGACTATTGTTTTAAGGTCTGCTTTCTATCCCATTCAGTTTTAGGGACAGCAGTTAGGAAGGTGTGGCTGGCTTTTTTATGGGGAGTGAGAAGCAGCGGACCCGGTTCATGTAATTTTACATGTTGTGGAGGAAGATGGGGTTGTGGAGAATTGGAACTCACAGAGTGCTGTTTCTGTCTTTCGTAGCGCGTTCCCTCAAGTTTGGCAGGCAGACTGGGGGTGAAGAGGGCGACGGAGCCTCTGGGTATGATGCCTATTGGAAGAACCTTTCATCTGAGAAGTATGGTGACGCTGCCAGCCACCAGGAAGAGGAGGAGGATGAGTATGAGGCAGAGGATGATGAAGAGGATGAAGATGAAGGTGGAAAGGATTCAGATGCTGAGTCATCAGATTTGTTCACTAATTTGAATTTAGGAAGGACCTATGCCAGCGGCTACGCCCACTACGAGGAACAGGAGAACTAGGAGAGCTGCTGGCCCGCCGGGCCCTGCCCTCAAGGGAGCGGGGACGTGTGTGCTTGATGGATTGTGGCTGTTCCTGAGTACATGCACTTGCCTTGTGAAAAAGACAGTCTCGCTTCCTGGGGCATGGAGTAGGGCCTAGGATTTTCATAGGAACTGATCGTCAGGCTTTTGCATAGGAAAAATGATTTTCAAATGTCAGATGTTTATTAATCAAACAATTAAAGCATCATGAATTGGATTTTTACTGATAACAGTAATCTAGTAGGTTTTGCCAGTTATATACCTATACAGGATAAAAGAATAGGATGGTAATATATTTAAAAGTAAATTTCAAATTTGATGGTTTTATCAAAAAACACTGCTTATGAATTCATGCTGTCTGATTTTGTAAAATGAAATGGGTAAAATGAATTATTGTATTTTTCCTTGTACATCCACAGGATAAAAGTCAGATGTTATATTCTAAATTTTCATTAAATATTCATGTAATCTTAAATGGTCATGATGTGTATGTTTTAGCAGTTGACCCACTTCTTTTTCCACAATGTATGTCTTTCTCCACAGAATAATAACGGGAAGAGGACCTGTTTTTAATGCCTAAATGTATGGACAAAGGTGGCTACTCTGCCATTTTTCAGAGACACAGAATTCGAAATAGTATCACTTCACAGAGTCTTCACCCAGGAAATTTCAGTTCTTTCTGAATAAATCTAGTATTTCACTTTCAATTTTTGAAGATTATTTTGGAAAGCCTTCTAATATTTTGTGTAGATGGCTTCATTTTCTGTCTGCTATACAAAGTCGCACAGCCAGACCCCATCCTACATCTGGATGGAGGACAGTTGGTGCACCTTACAGTGGCGATGGATTGGGATGTTGTGGGAGGATTGATTACGGGACTGGCTGCCATTTGAAAAGTATGAAGAAATTGTAGCTATGAGGATGAGCGGTTGAATGGCTATTGCCGTTCTTCATAGAAACATAATGAGTAGCTGAGGGCAGTGAGGGCGATGCGAAGCCAGGTGTGGAAGCCAGGAGGCCTCTAGGTGCGTGTGCAAAAGCTTTCATCTCCTGCAGCTGGAGGGCTGCGAAGACAGCCCAGAACTAAATAGTCTGAGTGGATAAACTTCAAAGACTTGCGGCTATCAAGGCAGGTCTGTATGGCAAGGGCGGCGAGCTCTTTGGGAAAACCTGGGATCCTGACAAGTTTGATGGAGACATGTGATTGGATGCTGCTGAAGATTTTAACTCCTCAGACTTCTGAACTCTGAGCCTGCTATCGTAGCCCACTCCTGTGTTCAGAGCAAGCCCCCAGGCTCCACCACACTCCCAAGCTGCGTGGCAGTGTAGCAGTCTCCTGGGCGGTATCTTATTCAGAAACGGAATTTGCAGGTGGAATTGGTTAAATTAAGACAAGGTCATGTGGGGCTAGGGTGGGCCCTTTATTTGAAGACTGGTGGCCTTTTAAGAAGCGGGCAGGGCACACAGACAAGAAGCCATCTGAAGACTAAAGCAGAGATTGTAACAAAGAGTAACTGGTCAAGGAATGCCAGGGGTGGCTGGCGGCTACCCGAAGCTGGTGAGAAACTGCACATGTTCTCCCGGAGAGCCACCAGGAGAAACGGACCCAGCTGGCACCCCCTCCTGCACCGTGGGAGAATACATTCTGTTTTGAGCCACCTGCTTCCCGTCTCTGCATTCGGCTCTGCACGACTGGAGATCCTGGGTCCCCAAAGGGGCACCTTTCTTTAGGGCGCTCAGTAAGCTCTCCAGGGACTTAAAAGCTCTGTTTGCCTACTTGGCGCTTGGTGACTTTTTATGTTCAGAGACCAACAGGCAAGAAGAGAAATCACTGTCTTGGCAAAGATGAATGATTCTGGATCAGGGGGCGTAGGCTGCTTTTATGAGACCGCTGCGAGAAACAGGACTGGAAGTTGGTGAGTCACGTGGGTGCCCCGTGTGGTCCTTGGCGCGCTGTGACCGGAGCCAGCCAAGGCCAACCAGCCTGGCCTGGCCGGGCCTTGTGACTGGATCCGCTGAGCTTATGGGTCGTGTGCCCAGGACAGGCCCAGAGGCTGACAGCGATGCCTCCTGGGACCAGCCCTGCCCAGGGCAGAGCATGCATCTGCTGACTGAGCAACTGGCCTGGCTCTTTTGACCTAACAGGCCCCACTCTGACAAATAGCTATTAAGTTAATATCCCTCCACAGAATCTAGAAGCTGACATTTAACATGAGTAAATATATTTTCCTTCTCTGCATTTTGGTCACGGTTTGGCAAACTCCTTCCTAGAATATTGCAAAGATGCACATGAGCGTGACCTTCATAAGTGACCTACAAGCACCTTCTTGCAGAAAGTGCATAGACCATGCCGGGCACACACCTGCGCTTTCCAGAATGACCCTGGTTCCTTATTTGCCTAATGGGAACAATTCAAAGGCTGGCACTTAATATATTAATTCCTTAATTCTACTTTGTAGAATCAGATATAGCTAGCACAGTGATAAATTAGACACACAGAAGTCTTCTTAATAAGGAATCGGAGTTAAAACATAACGTATATAAAGGGCAGAGTGTTTCTGATAAAGAATCTTCATGGGAAGGCAAAAGCCCGCACTAACTGAAATTTGCTTATTTTCCCAGACTCCACTCAGAAGCTGAGTGGCAGGTCTAGCCAGACTCAGCTGCCCTCCTCAGAGGCCATAGCCCACTGGACTCTACTTGCCCTCTGAGACTTGCAAAATCCCTTCAGGTGCTAAGTTGGGGCATAAAGAGGAATTAAAGTAGCCGGTCAAATTAAATTTGCTAACCAGCTGGCCTTTGTTTTAAATGAGGTACACTGATTTTGTAACATGTCTCAGGTGTTAAGCCTGGACTCTATCAAGTTCACTGCTAGCAGTCCAGTTCTGTCCTTTACCAGACCACTGGCCTCTTTCCTCAGTTTACCCAGCCTCCCATACCCCTTCTCTTCACCCCCAGTTTGAACAGGTCATCTTCAAATAGGGAGATGATCCTGGGTTCTCTGGCAGGCCTCATGAAATCACAAAGGTGCTTAAAGAGGGACGAGGGACGGGAGGGGAGGCGGGAAGACAGTATATGAGAAGGGCTCCGGGTTCCCTCCTGGCTTGGAATGTGGAGGAAGAGGCCGGGAACACGGGTGGCCTCTAGCACGGAGAGCAGGCCAGGGGATGGGTCTCCCGCCAGGGCCTCCAGAGGGAAAGCAGCCTGGAAGGGAGGCCTGTCGTCCCCTGCCCCACAGACCTGCCGGGCCATGCAGTTGCATTGTTTCCCATCACTGAAAGCGGGATCATTTGTTCCAGTGACGATAGGCAACAGACAGATTCATTATCTCCAAAACCTTCAGGGGAGGTGTGAGCACTTTGGCTTATTTTGTGGGACTTTAGGGTCACATACTTTCTCACAGAATAGTTCTGAATTCCAAACCATGTTTAAGGGCTCCCAGAGTTTGTTGGCTAAGCCCTCCGTGAGATGCAGGAGTGTATGGCAGCGCCGTTGCTCAGAAGGGCGAAGTACAAGGTGGAAGGCAGGCTCGGAGCACACGAGCACGTCGGTATTGCTCACGTTGGTGAAGGTTTAACATGGGCCATGGAACTGTCGCCTCTGGGCAACGCAAGCCAGGCCACAATGAAAGCACAAGATGCTAAATTATTGCTCCAGGCAGATCAGGGCTGCTATACTGGTCCCTTGGAATTCTTCAGTACTGCCTTTTTGTAGGCCAGTGAGGACCAAGTCATCAGTGAAATCTCAAAACAAACATTGTTTGTGAACTTTAAGATATCAGGACAGCCCAACCTCCCTGGGCCAGATGTGTGCTGACAGTTCCACGCTTGAGCTCATATAAGAAAATGTAGAGAGAGAAGAAATGGTTGGTGACGCTTTTCATATTTGAGACCTTGCTCAGCTTGAGAGAGCAGTGGTGAGTCTGCGGGATGGGCCAGGTCGAAAGAGATAGCTCTTTTCATGCAAAACCTATGAGCTCTACACAGGTTAAAGTAAAAAAAAAAAAAAAAAAGCACCCAAAACATAGTAAAAATAGCACTGGACTCTAAATAGACTGGGCAACTGTGAAACAAAACATTATGTGGTTAGTGCGAGGAATGGACTACTGGACAGTGGCTCCACCATTATAAACATGCAGGTTTACACACACACACTCACACTCACGTTGCTATTTTAAGGCTTGACGGCATGTTCCCTGTGTAACATCTCTCTACGTTTATATATTCTTATACAAATTTAATATGCAGGGCTCTTTACTTGATTCTAATTTTAGATATCAAGTTTTTCTTAACCTGCAAGAAAACAGAGTTCAAAGAACACAATGAAAGCGGGATCCACACAATCTCTGTTGCTTTTGGCCATTAAGTACCCGGGCCAACTGCTGTCTACGATGACCCAGGCATAAGCCACCTGAGGACGCATGGCGTTATCTTCCTGTGCTGATGGGGTCTCTGCTTTTAGAAAGAAATGTTATACTTAATACGAGCAGACTATTATAGCAAATAAAAGAGGTAGTGTTATTGAAGCTTTATTTGCCTGGGAACTCTTTTTGTTGGATAAAAGGAAAGTTTAAAGAAAATATTTTTTCTCTGAATTTCAGTCTGGAATGCTACCCAGGTCTCTCAACCAGCTTTGAACTTGCAGCTAAAGAAAACATTTGATCTTCTTTCTCTTTGAATTTGACAAAATGTCCTTCTTCTTTGAAATCCCCTTTTTGTTTTGTGGGCACGTGTCAAGGTGTTTTAGAATTGCAGAGCTCTTGGGGGTAAGATACGGGTCCTTTTCGTTTAACCTTTGAATACTCTTAAGTGTCTATTCCACCAAGCTGGCATTCCAAAAATACTGCTCATAAAAATCTTATTCTTCTGCTGTGGTTTGGAAGTAGGGGTTGGTGTGTCAGATTTGGCCTTTTCACTTAGAGGTTTTAAAAACTGGTATTCCAAGACAGCACTTCATTCCATTCAACAAATACTTTTGGAGGTCGTCCTGGATACCAATAGCTAACATGCACTGAGAGATGAATTGCGGTAGCCAATAGGATGAAGTTCTGGGGCAGGTACCTAAAATACATAAAAAGTGAGTCATATATAAAAAAAAAATGTAACCTATTATTGGGAGAAGAAAACATACTGTTTCCAAAGGACCAAAGGATCCCAGATTCTAGCCCCACGCCATGGCCCTGGGTGAATAGGATAGACACAGAGGCAAGCCAGGCTGTACTTTAGTAACAGGTGGGGATTTCCCTTTAATCCAATACAGAGCCCTCTTGCCTTGGCTGAACCCCAAGAACAACTCTTTCCTTCATCCTCCAGCCCGAATGCCCACTCATTGCCTCCGTGACAGCAGGGTATGTGGACAGGAAATAAGAGGCGCGAAAGCAGAGAACGAAAGAAAGGTCACCATCGAGAAGAAATGCAATTTCTTAAAATGCATCCCATGCGCCTGCAGGGAACAGGAGGAGAGCCCAGCCTTAGCTTGAACGACTTTTTCTGACTCAGGGATTAACTTTTGATCCCAGACCCATCTGGTGTCACATTCATTTTTGTTGACCTCAAATGCAAGTAAGAATATTCTGATTTTAGACCAAACAACTTAGCTCATCCACTTGCTGCTTGAGGAGAAGCCTCTCCAGCTGCAAACTGGCGATGGGACAAGTAGCTTCACTGCTGAACAGTCTCGAACTAGTAAGTCAGGATATAACCACGT